TTTATATTTTCTTATAGATTTTGAGTACAAATATTATATTTTATTTCAATTTTACATTTTATATTTTATTTTAATTGAATCTAGTATAAAAATTTGTATAGAATTAATTGAAAATACTACATTTAGTGAAACTTAACCTATGCCCTTAGAAAATTCCTATATTAAAAGTGTAGTCCACCTTTTGAATTTACTAAAATATCTTTAATAAAACTATTCTTATACTATTTTATTAAGGGTATTTTAATAAATTTATAAGATAAATTATATTTTTAATATACAGTTTGGATTGTAATACATCAATCCCATTTTCAATTAAACCAAAAAACTTCTAACCCCATCTCTATTTAACAATAGGGGTAAAATTGAAGTAGTAGTATTTAAAGTCTTTTTTTAAATCAAAAGTTAGAACCAAGTTAGACCATTTAAAGTATCTTTATTTAACAATTGTGATAAATAAATCATAGTGGAAGAAGTAAAACAACTAAATAAAAACACCAATATTTAATATGTGAAACAACTAAATTCAGACCTGGGTAAGCTAAGGGTTAGAAGAAGAGTTTTGAAAAACACATAAAACAAATTTAATCTTCTGAATTAAGAATTTTTTGAGTGCAATTTTCAAAATTAGAATTATATACAAAGCATTTCCTATTCAAGGCCCATTGACTCCCACATCTCATTCTTCCTTCTTTGGATCAAACAAATTGGGCCCTCCGTTGTTTGGGCCGAAGAAGAATTTGACCTAAGGAAAAAGGTGAGTTTTATTTTTAATAATACTATAGTTACAATATTACATAAGATTTGTTACATCCTACATAGTATTAAATGAAATATAATATAGTATTAAATGAGTGAATGCATATAATATTATAGATAAACTCTTAAATAAAAAAAATTAATTATATAACGACACATTATATTATAAATTTATAAAATCCTATAGCATGGTAACTGATTGAATGTGTCACTTCTCAAACAGATGATTGGTTATTTGACATTGGAGCAAATACTCATGCTACCATTGATTTCTAGAGCTTAGTCTTGTTGACAGAATATGAGGGTACAGATTCAGTTGTCATTGACAATGTCACAGGTTTACCCATCTCATATGTTGGTGATCATTCATATTTAGAATCCCTTGACCATACCTTTCCCCCTTGACCAGAGTAAGTATGTTCCACATCATATATAACCTATTTATAGCATGCAA